ATAAATGTCTCATAAACAGAATGGAGATCAAATCAACCCCTACAACGTCCTACAGCACATCCCCACCGTGTATTGAGAATATCTCTCGGGGATAATACCAGAAATGATGATATCATCATCAAGAGATGTTCTCAATACATGACAGGGATGTGCTATGGGACGTTGAAGCTAAGTTGATTAAACTATTTTACTTGGATCTGACCCATGCATATAGATGCATTTACATTATAAAGGGTTAGGTTTAGTTTGGGGTATTTTAAAATGGGTTGGACATCCCTACCAAAAAAATGGGTTGGATATGGATCCTGCTTATAGATCCAATCAAATTTGGACAAGACTAGGGGTGGATTCAAGCCTTGCCAAGGTAGTACAAGGCTCGAGTTAAAGTCAAAAGCTCGTAAGTTCGAGCTTGACTTGAGAAAAATGTTCTATAAAAATAAAAAATTGTATATAAAAAATATTTTTTATTTGATATGTAAAAAATAAAAATTATAATAATTAGTTATTACTATATATAAAAATAAAAGTATTATATATAATATTTTTATTATATATTATTTTCTATAATAATAATAATAATAATAATTATTATTATTATTATTATTATTATTATATGTATGTATGTATGTATGTATGTATGTATGTATGTATGTATGTATGTATGTAGCTATTCGAGCCAGCTCACGAGTCTCACAAGCTGAGTTTTATTAGGCTCGAGCTTGGCTTGATTAATAAATGAGCCTGTAAATTGGGATTGAACTCGGCTTGAAACTTAGTTGAAATTGAGCCGAGCTGAGCTCGAATAGCTCATGAAGAGCTCGGCTCGTGGCCACCCCTAGACAAGGCTTAGAAGCTAAAACTTTTTAGATCAAGACTCAGATTTTGCTGGATGTCACAACTCTTCTAGTGTCTCTATAATTCCTCTATATTTTGTGTTTTTAAAATTAGAAGAAATAAAAGAAAACAACAACAAATAGAGACTACTTAAACTTGCGCACAACCAATTCATTGCACTCTTTTATTAGAAAACTTAATTTAATACTCCCATGTAAAATTTGGAATTATCCACGTCGCAAGCTCCTCTAACCTCTTCTTCACCTCTCTAAATCTTGTATATCAGTCTATGTAAACTCACCCATAAATAACCAAATTTCCTTTTTATTAAGAAATTGAGTCTAATCACTCCCTTATAAAATATGAGCATCTTTTAGCATTAACACGTGCATCACACGGATTACTTCTAGTAAGCCTTCAAATAATTAGGGAAATTTCCTGATTAGTATCCTATATTTCGGTCTAGTGCCATTTTGGTCTCTAAACTTTAAAATACGATAATTCAGTACCCGAATTTTCAAAACATGTCAATCCAGTACCTGATATTAACCAGTTATTAATCAGCCGTTAAGTGGCATTAGGAAAAGAACCCCAACTTTCTTGAATAGAAGAGGCAAGGATTTGGAACTGATAATTTTTTATCAACATTTGGGTGGTTGATAAAGAAAATTAGATGATACTTGAAAGGCATTTGTCTTTTTCAAAAGCCACTTAACGGCTAATTAACAGCTGGTTAACGATATATACTGAATTGACACATTTTAAAAGTTTGAGTACTTAATTGTTGCATTTAAAATTCAGGAGCTAAAGTGATACTAGCCATAAATATAAGATACTAATCGAGAATTTTCCCAAATGATTACATTTTCGGGGTGGGGCGATCAGGATGGGTGGCATCTTCTGCCAACCCCAATATATACGTGGAGTGTTTCCAATATTTTTTTTTTCTTTATTTTGGGACCATGGCCCCCCTGGGTGGCTCCACTCCTAAATCTTTCTTCCTATATTCTTTGAAGAATAGTCTTAGCATTAATTCCTATTTGTTTATTGACTCTGATTCATTGGGAATATAAGGCAAGTATAATCTTTGGGTTTAATTTAAAGCAGAAAGGAATGACTTATAAACTGCAGCCAATATATATCTTCAGTAATTACCATTCCATGGAAATTATATTAATTAAGAACCGGAAGGAAAAAAAAAAAAGAAAAGAAAAACCCACATTAATTTAAGGCCAAGTCAAGCAGCAGAGCAGTGCAGAAAATTGTCTATGCAGGCCAAACATGCTGTAAGATTGACTACTGCTGCACCATCCCAAGCTAGCAGCAGCAGTCCTCAGCTCTTTAGAAAATAATTATACCATTACAAAGGGGAAAGCCCCTTAAAGTTGAAACAATTAATCAAAGTCTACAATCTACACACAGTCTGTACATGAAGAGGGCCCCATAAGCTCACCTCAAAAGGAATATATCCCTGGTTTAGAATAATTCGCAAAAGCATCTAAAGATGCTTGAAATTCAAGCTAACATGTCCTTAAGACTAAAACAACCACAATTGCTGTGGCCTGTGATTTGGTTTGAACCGTAATGAGCTAAAAGTTAAATACCTACTTTGATAAAATGTATTTAACAAGACTTTAGTAGGACAGCTACGTAGGATGTGTATTCAATTCTAAGGAGGAATCTCCAGACCCAGATGGTCTTTCGCATTAATGGGTAGAGTGAGAGAATGTACAAGAGAAGAAATAAAAAGTAATTTCATAAAATAAAGGGCAAGTTTAATTAAAGTCTAGTCCTCTAGGCTTTAAATATGGTCCAAAAAGCACTCAATTGTACAGGTGTTACACATGCATCCACAACATAATAAACCTATCATATATTCATCTACATTAACAAGGGCCAAAATTAAAAGATATATCTAGCCATTTTCATATATTTATGTATTGATGAACAAACGACCCATAACAATATATTGATGATCATCTCTGGTTATATATTTTGGGTTACAATGAAATTAACAGTACCCTGAATTACTGAAATTAGATTTGGAGAACCGATTTAAGATATTTAGTTGTAATGGAAAAGAATCTCCCTTTCTTTGTCAAAGAAGAAAGCATCTATTCTCTTCTGGAATGGGTAAATGGTTGGTTGATTTCCCCATAATCTTCATGGGATTTGACATACTTGCATGGGAACAGAGAGAGAGAGAGAGAGCGCTTTACATAGTTGATACTCATCCTCAAACACTTTTTCTTAGGTGTGGGGTCGTGGGTGTCAAGATATGGGGTTTTGACCCTAAAAATTTTTGCTTCTTTGAATTTGGATTGAAGTTACTTTGGTGACATGTGCATAGGAGAGACAATCTTCTAATCTACAAAAGCCATTTAGGTTCAGACCCAACATGCTTTAGATGAAGATAGGTCCCCCCACCTGCATATCTAAAGCTCCACAAACAAAAACCTTTATGGCATGAATTTTATATCCTCACATACTACCAACCACAGGAACTAATATATAATAAAGTTATTGGTGCCATATAAACTCTTGTTTTCTTTCTATACTACTAGCTACTATTACTACTCTTCTCTCTGATAGATTGTCCATGTACAGACTTGGATTAAATCTCTTCTCACTCAATTACCTGATCACTCCATCAGATTACTTACGTTACCATCAAAAGGAATTTTGATCATTGATATATATGCACATGAAACCCGTTGGAATAATCTTATAATAATTCTGTTAAACTTTTAATGAACATACATGTATATATATATATGACTCATAAATCCTATGACGCATTCCAATGACGTATCACATCGTGATTATGGACATGAGGGAATCAAGCTGTTCAAACCATGGTAGGAAAACCTTTAACCTGGTTAGTTGAATTGTGAATATATTGCCCAAGTCAGTTCATCAGGAGCTTACACATGTCCATTTCTTTTTTTTTTTTTTAATTAGGGTATAAGAATTGGCCACTTGGTTTTTCCTAAAAAAATATCATCCTAATGGTAAACATTGAAGCAGAATCCATCGATCAAACCTTTTTTTTTCTAAAAACATATTTATTTAAATAATTAAGACACTTGTTAAGAATCTTATTACCTTTAAGAAAAAGAGGATAAGATCGATTGTATATTTAGCCCATGGACCTTTTATTCTTTAGATACCATCAATAATATTGTAAAAATTATGAACATTTTATGGATCCAAGTGTTCAGTTTGTAATCTGTATATGGAATTGAAGAACTTTTCCCCAAATCTAATTATTTTAGTATTTTAGGATCTTAGGGTTTTCTACAGTTGTTAAGGATCTCAAGACATGTATAAAATTTAGCTATTTTTCTACCATGATTTAAACATAAATTCATCAAGTAGTGTCTCTGTATTATGCTCCTGAGATTATCAAAATGGGAAAAATTGCCTAGACAATCTAGCTATAGTAATCAGGCCACAATGGCTAGCTTGTTGGTGTCCAACTCAACTCAACCCAACAAAGTCTCATCTTAATTCTTAACTACTGGGGTCCCATAAACTAGCATCTGTGGACTGGTTCCCATGAGATCAAAATCTAAGGAAAAGTTTTCATTCAATTTCATTTCAGTCTCTTAATGATATCATCCTCAGTACAGCCATGATGCATGTTTGGTCCCCAAAAGCATTATTATAGCTAAGCTAATTAATTGATTTGTCAATACAAATTAAAGCAGATGATGAAAAAGCGTTTCTATTGCAGTAATCTATGTATTTGTGTGTTGGTTAGAATTAATATGATCATCATATCAAGGAGTGTAGGGTTAGCTAAAACGTTGCTCTGTATGATTGCTTGCGTGGTCCCTCTCATTTTCTTAAATTAGAATTAATTAAAAGCATACCATGATAGAATAAAGGACATATGCGGCAATGCAAAGATACACTAATTCTTATCATTACACAATCAGACTTATATCTCTCACCTCTCTTTGTTCCAAATACATACAATTTCAATCTACGGGAAGAAAACGTTACAAGCATACCCTCTCTCTCTCTCTCTCTCTAGAATATCTTTTGGCAAAGGAGGGCCAGCATATTGGAGTCGGTGGGCTTCCTTTTTTTTATATTTTTTTACAGCGGTGCATGATAGCCTATACTTTCTCAGAGAGAGAGAGAGAGAGAGAGAGTTTGCTCTTCAAAAACGCACCCTATTCCTCATTATATGCGTCACTTTTGTTCTTGAATCTCTTCCTATTCTAGAGCAGCTGAGAAAGAATGTTCCATTCTAAGAAGCCTACTATGAATGCACATGACAGGCCTATGTGTGTTCAGGGCGACTCTGGGCTTGTCCTCACAACAGACCCCAAACCCCGTCTCCGATGGACCGTCGAGCTTCACGAGCGATTTGTAGATGCTGTCACTCAGCTTGGAGGCCCAGACAGTACTTACCTTCTCAACACACTCTCCATCCATATCTCTGATCAATCTCTGTGTTCTTTGTCTTTTGGTTTCATAAACGTGATGAAAATGAAACCTTTTCCATCTTTTTTTTGTTTCTGTCTAAATTTGTAGAGGCCACACCAAAGACCATCATGAGGGTTATGGGCGTCAAGGGTCTTACACTCTATCATCTCAAGAGCCACCTTCAGGTTTTTCAACTCTCATTAAATTCACATGATTTCTTCATTTTGTACGCCCTTGTTTCTGTTTTCTTTTCTTTCAGTTTGTATATATGTGATTTCTGTTCCTTTCTCCAATAGAAATTTAGACTTGGGAAGCAACCCCATAAGGAATTCAATGATCATGCAGTTAAGGATGGGGACAGAGGTAGCTTTTCTTACTTGGATTAATTGTTGTGTTTTTTTTCCTTTCTTTTTTTAATTTCCAGCATGCTTTCTAATAACAAAAGTGTTTTTTTCTTCTGTTTTAATTTTCCTATTTTTTGGCCAATTCTCATGGTTCCTTCAGCACTAGAGCTTCAGAGAAATGCTGCTTCTTCATCTGGGATAATGGGTCGAAGCATGAATGAGTATGTAGTTATCTTAATCTTTTTCCGTAGATGGCTTCTGACTTCAGGTTGAGAATAATCAGGGCTTGTATTTTCAGTACTGTCGCTTCATAATTCATACGTGTCCTAAGGTTTTCTTTCTCAGTTTCTCTAGTATTGATATGTTCTGTTATGGGATGGTTGATACCATAGCAGGAACGTACGCCTAACGGAGGCACTCAGGATGCAAATGGAAGTAGAAAGAAGATTGCATGAACAACTAGAGGTATGAACCTGATACGGGATTCTTAATTAGTTTTCTCGCTCACTGTTGCACTTGCAAACCTATGGTTGATGAAGATATTCGGTGTTAGTTAACTTATTTTCTATACGTAGCAGGTGCAGAAGCATCTGCAGTTAAGGATTGAAGCCCAAGGGAAGTATTTGCAGAACATATTAGAGAAAGCTTTCCAAACACTTGCTGGTGATCAGAACATGGCCACAGCAAGTTATAAGACTGTGGGTAATCAAGGAGGAGTACTCGATGTGAGTGCCATGAAAGATTTCGGTTCACCTGTTAACACCTTTCCATCTCTTCAAGACCTACACATATACGGTGGGGAGCAGCTTGATCTGCAGTCACAGATGGACAGAACATCTCTCGATGGTTTCATGCCAGCAGCAGCCAACGACAATATTTGTTTAGGGAAGAAGAGGCCTAGCCCGTATAGCAGTAGCAGCGGCAAGAACCCTTTAATTTGGGCTGATGACCTCCGACTACAGGAGCTGGGGGGAACGGCTGCTGCATGTCTAGGCCCTCAAGAAGACGCTTTCAAGGGTGATCATCAGCTTCAAATCTCTCCATCGGCAATTGACAACGGCCCAGATATGGATTCCATCTCAGATGTTTATGAAACCAAGCCGATTGTCTCAGGGGACAGTATGGGTGAGAAGAAATTTGAGGCTTCGGCAAAGCTTGAGAGACCATCTCCACGAAGAGCAACACTTCCAGTGGAAAGAATAAACCCCATGATCAAGAGCAGTGCCTTAACCCAAGGAAGAAATATGCCTTATGGGTGAATTTTAGATCCATTATTTATGAGATGTAAGTGATCTGAACGAAGCTTTTAGTTTCACTTATACCCAGAAAAAAAGAAAAAAAACAGACACATATTAGGAGGTTCTATGGGGATACTGTATGAGAGAATGCCATGCAATGCATGGTGGATCTCAATTCAAAGTTTCAAAACTACCTTTATTATTAGTACATTATTGGAATTTAATTATTATATGTAAGGTGACCTCTGGACATTTTATATTCTGAAATGCATCTCATTTCATCTCATCTCATGGGTGACTATGATTTAAAAATCTATGTAGAAAGAAGAATTACATTCATGCATTTTAATTACTTCTAATTAATTAAACTTCGGAATTATATTGAAATATCATCAACTAATCTTTTTTTTTCTTGTGGGTCTGCTGTATATATATTATTTTGGACTCTTTAATTTGTTATTCTTCATATATACATGGATCTGAAATTGATTAATTAATTGTTTTTGAGATTACGTACTCTAACTAATGTAGCAACCTTTTTAGAGTTGCTTTTTAGTTAGTTGCTCACTTGCTCCAGGTTAGTTACTGTCATCGTTAAAACAAAAACATTGGGAAATGAAACTGTATTGATATTCATAACCATGCAAAAATAATAAAAACAGGGAGAGAAAAAAAAAAGATTGCAAATGAAATGGGGTCCTGAGGAACACACAGTCCAGTAGTGTGTAGTCTATATTGCTTCAAAACCCTTCGGGAACCGAGTGAAAGGAGACTAATAGAAGCTACTTTTCTTCTGGAATGAGAAAGAAGAATTTCCTTAGAGAGAAGCCGACAGGGAGTATCTATCTCCTGTTCCTTTTTCTTTTTCAGCACTTGATATTCCTTGTGCATTTGATGAAGATGACATCTCATCGGGTGCCTCTGGGTTAGACACTAACTAGCTATATATCAATGGTTTATATATCTCATAACTTGCCCAATTTGAGAGTATTTGCGACAAAGATATAATATCTGTTATGTAATGTCTCCTCAAGGTTTTAACACCTCTCTCTACATCTCTTAGCCATCTATTATTAGATCCAAGAAGAGTCTTCTTTTGCTGTTGAGAAAAGATGGTGGCGCTGCTAACTTTATCGGTTGCAGAGAAGATTTAGAGAGTGCAAGTTGTCAAGAAAGTTCCCTCACTACCCAGAGAGAGAGAGAGAGAGAGCGATACATATGAGCAAAGAAAAAGAGCTCAAGAAGAGAGAGAGAGAGAGAGGAGGGAGAAAAGAAAAGTTAAAGGGGAAGGCAACACTACGCACAACCACGCGTGCAGTTATCGAGGAAGCTTCTATCTTTCAGCTGGAAAAGTTGGTCATATTATAATTTAAAAGCGGAATGATTGGTTACTTGTATGTTTGAATGGATAGAGGTGTAGTGTGTATAGATATATAAATAATTCGTGGTCTTACAACGGATCTGCATAATAAGGTAGTGATTTGAAGCTCGTTCTTCCATGTAAATCATTTGCAGCCACAACCACTTTGGATTCTTTTTGCTCTCAGGACAACTTTGGGCTTAGTAAAGAACTACTCCCAGAAACAAAGTACAGTTGAGAAACTTCTTTCCCTAATTATCGACTCTCTCTCTCTCTCTCACAAACACACACACAGTTGTGGGTCTGCCAGTTCACACTGCAGCCAACCAAGGGAGAGATAATGTAAATTAAACTTCAAACCTAAGGTTGGAACTTGGAAATCATGATTAGAAATACTAAAGAATAAGAAGAAACAAAAGGGAAAGACTATGCTAGAGCCTAGAAGGCTAGTAGCTAGAGAAATGGCAGATGAGTTCTTTATGTTTAGTTCTTATTTAAGTTGCAGTTCATTAGCTTTTGCTCTCAATAGTCATTTTAGTTTGAATTTTATTCATAAAGCAATCTTGGTGTTCACAGCTTGGTGCAGTACTATCATTAATCATCCACTAAAAACAGATTTTGTGGGCCCTAATAATTCATTTGTTCTGACCTTTTAGAAACCTCATGATTCAATTCCTAAAATGGCCATTTTACATGAAAAACAATCTTTAATTGGTACAACTGGCTAGCTCAAATTAATATTATAATTCAAACATAGCTATAAACCTATTGCCATCTAATTATAGTGCATTTATTAATTTAATGCCTAAAACAAATGGAAGCCAAGTGCAAGGAAGGATTATAGGTCAGCCAATACCTTGCCACGTGTCAAACTTCTATCAATGTATCTGACCTTTACAGCTGACTGGATGAGACTGTGTAGGGATCTGGTTCCATGGTCGGTTTTATAATTATTAGAAGAAATTGGAAGCTATTAAAGCAGACTATACCCTAGGGATCTGGCTCCATGCTAGGTTTATTATCTTAGGACAAATGGTGGCAAGCTCTGTAATACTTTTGAAACTGGTCCACAATTAGTGGTTTAATTTACATTTTAGAGGGAAGTAAATGCTGTATCAAATGCACCATAGCAATTAGTGACTCATGCCATTACAATAACTATGTATTTGGTTAGAAAGAAAATTAATAAGAAAGAAAGAAAGTTGAGGGAAGATTCTCAAGGAGTTTATTTCTTATGTTTTATCAAACTGGGCCAATTACATAGCCTAAAAGAGAAAAGAAGAGAAAAACAAAAAATAACCCATTTGGTATAGACTGGGTATATGTAAAATTAAAAAGGAAAAAAAGAGCCTACTATATATATGGTATATAAACTTAGACTATATTTGACATGCTTTCAAAGCATTAAATCTGATGAAAATTTTGATTTTAACCCTTTTTTTTTGTACTGTAGATCTTCTGCCCACAAGAACTCTATTCACGCCTATCCACAAAACACTACTTCCGTGCATTGGGTATATCTCCCCGTGCATAATAACATGTAAGAGGATGAAATGCTCCCATGTGTGGCTGCAACATTATGTGAGTAGAGTTGTCATGGGCAGCAATATTTCCGAACCGTTGTTGACTTAGATTGTTGGACCGTTTGACCCGAGAACTGTTTAGGCAACCAATTCTGTTTTACCCCGAACCCAGTCCTTAGCCAAAAACTATTGAATTGATTAGTGGCCTGCTGACATGGGTGATCGAACGAGCAATTTTTTGGCCTTTTTCATTTTTTTTCATTGGAACGGGCAATTTATTACACCGGATGGTCGAACTGTTGATCCAGAAATTGATGACCAGAACGGTTCTAATTCTAGTTTTAAAACCTTGGTGGAAGGGAATCCGGACTCGTTTTTTTGGGGGTTTGGGGGGGGGGGGCGCTAAAAGTCTCAAATTAAACTCATTCTATGAATTGATCCATTAGAAGCAAAATTAACTTGGAAAAAGAATCATTTTTTATCAAAAACTCACTTTTCAAATAGTTGGGAAAGAATTTTAACCAAACATATATAATGTAACCTAAGTAGATTCATTTAATTAGCATTAGAGAAAGATCTAGGCAAGTGAATTCATGTCGATGAATTCATTAATTATATATGTTCATGCATTCAACTGATAAGATAGCAAGGAAGATCAGAGCAGGCATTATTTGAATTGGAAAACACGGTATTGAGAGCTGTTAACGTAATGCTCTGCAGGCATTATTGAGAGCTGTTAACGTAGCATCTGCCTTTATAAAAAGAATGGGTTTGTTTGTCGTTTAAGAGTCAAAATGGTCCACGTGGCAACACTGTTGGTGACCTAAAAGAGGCCCACATGTCCCTTTTGAATATCCTTTATACATGGACAACTTTAGCAAGGAAGTCCTTTGCATGTGACGTGCCGAATGCAAGACACTTAATTATTCCAGTTGCAACTCTTGGCTTTATTCAACTACAGAAGGGGTTGGACCTGGCAATGGGTATTGGGTATCCGACACATCAACCCCTCCTTACCAGGATCTGGGTCCATTCACCTTTGACCAACCATAAATGGGTCCATCCAGGGTCCACATTTAGTAGGTCCCCGCTATAAACAATTACCAATTACCAATCACCATACGAATCTTAAAAATTTGTAGGAGGGAATATATCAAAATCATATATAAATCCAACTAGCGGTGGGCATGTATTTGAAATCCAACCGGTCACTTCGGTTTTTGCATTGTCCTGAACCGAAACCGAATCTAATCAATCGGTTAATTGGTTCGGTTCTTTAATTTTTTATATTTATAATATATACTATATATATATTATAAACAATTAATTATAAAAATTTTATATATAAAAATATTTTAATCGGTTCAGTTCTTTTGGTTCGACCATGATACCGAAAAAACATAATATCTGAAAATCTTATCACCAATCTATCAACCAGTGATATTTATTCATGATGGGTGAGTTTTGGTTGATCAAAGCTCTTCTGATGCCATGTCTTTTCGGCATCAGATTGGTTAATTAAACTTTTATATTTGGTTTCATTGATTCGGTGCAATTTCTCAATTTTTTTTTTTTTTTTTGGTTTTTGATGAACACAAAATTTTTAAAAGATTTTACCAATATTTACATATACGATTAGTTTCCATAATTTGGTGGGTCATGATCTGGAACCACCCATCATACCCGGGCCTGAGCCCAATATAACCCGGAACCGATGCTTATAATAGGGTCTGAACTGAGGAACTGAATTTACCGAAAAAACTCGTATTTCTCGTCTAGATTTGATCATGCATCCTTGTTAGAAAAAAATATCTACTCTACCAAAAAAAAGGAAAAAAGAAGAAAAAGAAAGGAAAGAAACAAATAGAAATGTAGATGGTAGAGGCAATACACTGGTAGTGACATATATGTTGATAAATCTTGACCCGGCCCAAAAAACCGATTTTCTATTATGTAAGGCCATGAACCAGTAAGCAATATATTTCAAGTTTTTCAGCTTCAAACCAACCCTGTATGGCTGTATACACGTTTAGTATGCATGGATTTGGCATTTAATATAACAAATGGGCATTGATGCCTCCAAATTGTAAAGCCATGACAAGAATCCAGAGGTCTCAGTTCAATTGTCTTCTCTATTTTATTTTTCATTTGCGGTTAAAATGGTTATTTGATTTATTTTTAGAGTGGTATTTCCTGTTTGTTTGTTGGGTGGTCCTACACTATTTTCCTACACTTCACGTTCAATGTGAAGCAGGTGTCTTTTCTTGATAAAATGTGTGATACGAGCCTTAGTACAAGTATTTAGGGTAAGGGTAATTACAACGACCCCTAGTATGGTCGATGACAATTACACCCTTAACTTTTGGGACAAGAAGGCCCTGGACTTTCACTTTGCTACAAATA